AGGAAGGGTGAAAGGACTAACTACCCTGTTGTTGTTGTTGTGTGCCAGTGAATCGGCTCTGACTCATAGCGACCCTGCCGTACAGGGTTTCCGAGGCTGTAAATCTTTATGGGAGCAGAAAGCCTCAGCTTTCTTCCACGGAACAGCTGATAGTTTCGAACTACTTACCGTGAGATTAGCAGCCCTATTCATAATCACTACGCTACCAGAGCTCCTTAGTTACCTTTGTTGTTGTTAGGTGCCATCGAGTCGGTACCGACTCATAGCGACCAGCACAGCAGAACGAAACACTGCCCACTACTTTAGAGGGGGTGATTTATTTTGGGGCACAAGAACATTTGCTGCATGCTTCTAATTTTCCATGCAAGGCACTGAAGAAAAGCTAGCTGCTGGATCGACATCCTTTCTCCAATTCAGGATTGTGAACACTTCATTATTCTGAGTTCTGAGAGCTTGGTGGGTCCTCTCTGAGTCTGAGCTAGGGAGAGATTACACCTTGCCCTCTTGCTTGAGATGACAACCTTGTATGAAGTTTTGAATAGAAGTCTGAACTGGTTTTTGTGTGAACACTGGTAATAGCCAAGTCTCCAGTAAAGATATACTTAATTTAATTGCTCCTTTAGGGTCCACTTAGACTAATAGCTGTGAACACCTCTCCCAAGTGTCTCTCACAAACTTTGCTGAAGATGAGTCACAAATTCTTGTCAGGATCCAGTTAAATAGGGAAGAAAGCCTTCATTTTGTCTACACTGATTTCATCATAGACTGTACATTGCCCAGGGCCACCATGCTTACAATCTCAGGGTGGTTGACAGAGAGAAGACTTTAACACATAAAACAGCTTCTGAAAAGCGAAACAATTTTTCCAAGGTAACTATGAGTATTCTGAGAATGATTTATTCCACTGGGTGATAGAAAAAAGATAAGAAAAGTTCTCATAGCTCTAAGTTTGCTTACTTTGAATCATTAACTACGTAAGACTGGATTTTTGTTTGTTTGTTTGTTTAGCTGACCTAAATACCATTTGTACATTTTTCGCTATGTGCTATAACTGCTGTGTCAGTAAATGAAAGAATAGAGCTTCATGAAGTGCTAAACTGACTGAGAGTTTAGGGTTGCTGTTTGTCATCTCACTCATAATAAATCATTACATAAATTCTTTGTTGATTTTCTTTTTCTGGGTTTTTCTTTGACATTTGACTGAGTTGATTTAGATAAACAAGTATCAAGCTATACAACAAAAAAATCTGGATTGGAATTTCAAATCTCTGGAACTAACTTTGTCATTAATATTGTATGCGACTAATCACTTAGACTTTTCTGTGACTTAAAAATAAATAGATTGGACTAGGTTATCTCCAAAGTGTTTTTCATATTTAAACCTCAATGTTTAAAATGTGAGACTTTAATGTTTTTTGGTTTTTAGGTGTCTGTTCTTAAAATAAGTTTTCAGTATGTACAATTATATAACTCTGGAGAAAGATGAGGTTTTCTGCTCCCGTAAAGATTCACAGCCTCGGAAACCCTATATATGGCACATAACCACCATCACTACCGCTTACATGATTAACATAATCTAAAAGTATTGGTTTAGTTAGGCATCATCTATGAAAATATCCCAATCCCATTGAAGATAAAAATAATGGAAGTAGCCAAGTAATCCATTATTAATTAATTATATTAATTAATTAACAATTTTCTGTTTGGGAAGCTCTGAGTAATAAATTGGAACTAATATAAAACTTTCCTAAGAGTAACCTGTCTTTTCATAAAGTTCAATAGAACTTTGGGGGAAACTCAGTGCAATGAATATTTTAATTTCAGGTTTTTGAGGAAAACACTTATTGCTGTCTCCTTAAAATAATGAAAATCATGCAAGATAAATTTTTATTCTCTCTAAAATTGGGTACTGTTAGGTCTGGTGGTTGTTGTTGTTAAGTGCTGTCAAGTTGCTTCTGACTCATAGTGACCCCTGTATGGGGTCTCTAAGGAGCAGCTGGTGAGATTGAACCATAGACCTTGTGGATCAAACTGATCTTGATGTCCATTGCTTTAGCCCACAGTGCCACCACAGGACTCCGTTATGTCTGGTAATAGTAGAAAATAACTATTGCTTAAATGTCTTATCACACTATGTTATTTACTGCAGCATGTGTTTAATGTTCTGAGTTGTTTCCTGAAAAAAAAAAAAAAAATCCCCTTCACATCCTTGGTAAAAAATCTAGTGATACTTCATGACCACTAAAGCCAAAGTCCTAGGGACCTCAGGAGAGAAAGTTCTTTGTGATTTTCAGAAGAAGACATGACTGGCTGAGGTCCAACAGAGATTTCACGGCCATTCTTAAGTGGAAAGTATTAGTGTCTTGATTCTTTGATCTCCCTGTTGACCAATTGTATGAGAAGACTATCCACCTGCCCTGGAAACTGCAGTGAGTGGATAATTATCTGTAAAGGTAATTTGTTCCATTAATGTGAATCAGTTTGTTGAAGCTTTCCTGAGCTTAGCACCTGTTCAGCATCATGAATGTTGATTTTTTTTTTTAAATTAGTTTCTGGAATTGAGTTAAAGAAAGACCAGTTTAAGTGTGTGAATGATTGACTTGGCATAGTTAATTTCTTTGAAGTATTTGGTGTTGGATGTATTTGTCTTGCAATATGTACTGTAATATGAGTGTGCAGTGGATGGCGGGTGGGGATTCAGATGGTAATAATCCTAGTGAAGACTTAAGTGGGAAGCGCAGAAAACTTACATCCTCAGCTTCTCAGACTCATAGGACTCCCTATGAGCCACTCACTGGCATGTGGTGAGGGGAAAGGAAGTTATACCATTAGTTCTGAAGATACTAAACTCAAACTGTAAAAAGTAATTATTCAATCCTTTTGTTCCATTCACACACACACAAATGAATTAAACCAAAGAATATGTTATTTATTATACCCACCAACATGATTTAGCTCATCTGGACCTTGCTGCTAGTAAGGTACACAGGTGGGATTTTATAATTTTCATCCATTTTGAACACAGTCCACATGGCTATAGCCTTATTTCTCTGAGTCATGGACAGTTCATGATATTCAAAAACAGCTCTTGTCTTCACATTATAAAATGGTGATATAACCTGAATTGTAGGTGATATATATGATCATTTTGTATAAATGTTTTAATGCTTTAGTAGTGAATGAATTTGTTGAAGTTTGAGAAAGACCAGAATTCTAAATTAAAAATGAATATCTTCCTTAACTCTTTTAGTTGAAAGGAAGGAGAATGTGAATGTGATATTGATTTAATCTTACGCATTACAGAATGTGTATCTTCTTATTTTTTTTGCTGTCAATAAGGAATTTGCTTTTTTTTTTTTTCCCCCAAAATCCAGATTATCCAGAAAATTGAACAGGTTTATTTGTAATTGCTATAAACATCACTGAATGATTTTGATTTGTATTAAAGCTTTATGTCCCTACAATGTGTACCTTCTTGAGAACAGAAAGCATTCTGCTTTATTGGTGCTTGATGATTCTTTAGGATTTTTTCAAAAAAATTTAATTACGTGCCTGTCCACTCACTCCATACCAGTCATAGTCCTAGGTGCCAAGAAGGAATGTCCAGAGATGAAGGCAATGTATGTAGCAACTGGAGAGGAGAGTGTCAGTAGCCTGGCCATGCAGGATCAGTGGGATTCAGAGAGGCAATGCTCCTTTCTCTCTAGGGAAGGAATGCCAGGAAAGGATGGAACAGCTGACTGACCTTATTCTTGAGAAGAGGACATTCCTGGCTGACGCAGCTCTCTGAAGAAAGTCACAAAAGCCTGACATGTCTGGGTGCATTATTGAGACTGAGTGCTGGGTGGAGCTGGACATTGAGTGAGAAAAGAGACTGGAGGGGAGGTGAAGCCAGAAGGAACCTGTATTTTGTTGGCAATAAGGAATCACAGAAGAATTTTTAGAAGAATTATATGATAGATTGGCCATTAAGAAAGGTCACTATATAGATATAGAGTATTCAGAAAATACAGATCAGCACAAAGAAGGAAATAAAAATCAACCATATTCCACCCCACTGTTCAATCTTTGTGGTGTCCTAGTGTGGTGCTGTGGGTTAATGTGCTGGACTGCAAAGTTGGTTTGGACTGCAAGGTTAGTGGTTCAAGCTCACCATCTGCTCCTCAGAAACCCTGTACAGGGTTGCTATAGATTGGAACCAACTCGATTGCACTTAATAACAACATTTAATGTTTGGACTTCTGGTGTGGTGCTGTAGGATCAGCACTGGACTGTGAACCAGAAAGTAAGCGGTTCAAACCCACCTTGAAAACCCTATACCGGGTCACTATGAGTCAGAACCAACTCAAGGGCACTTAACAACAATGACAATTCATTCTTTGACCCATCACTTTCCTGATGCTTTCCTCATATATATTTTTTCCTACATGTTTTTTTAAAACCTAAGATAGAACCTGTTTGTGCATACCATTTATATTTTATTATACTTCATAAGCATTGCTAAACTACTATGTAAGCATAATTTGGAGAATTGTACAACATTCCATATCAAAATATCAAGATACACTCACCCTTCAGAATGCAGGCTGCTTTAAAATTTTCACTACTATAAACAGCACTGTGAGGAAACGTTGAAGATGCTCTTAATTATTATTTTAGGATAAATTCCTACAAGTGACAGTTCTTGATCATCTTTACAATGATCATTATCATGTCTGTTTAGCTTTCCCAAATTACACATGACAAAGAGTGCATCAATGACCTAATTTGCATTTCTTTGACTGAGGTCAGTTGATACATTTAATTGGCCATTTGCATTTGCTTTTATGAATTTCATGCTCATCTTGCCTTTTGTTTATTGTTATATTGGTATATTCATCTTGATTAGGAAGTCTTAGTCTGTCCATATAAAATTGCTCATACAAAGATGATCACATATGAACGAAGCATTGTAGCAATCTTCCTAAGAGCTTCATTTCTCTCCCAAGGGCTGACATCACATGAAGTTGTGGGTGGAGATTCTCCTGAGAGTTCTCCAAACACCTCTCAGTTCATGGACCATGAGAAACCAGACACTGGTAACAGAGTTTATCCTACAGGGCTTTATAGAGCATCCAGAATACCGGAAGCTCTTATTTGGCTGTTTCCTCTTCCTCTACTCTGTGGCCCTCACAGGTAATGTCCTCATCATCTTGGCCATCACCTTCAACCCTGGGCTCCATAACCCCATGTATTTTTTCTTGTTCAACTTGGCTACTATGGACATTATCTGCATCTCCACCATTATGCCCAAAGCACTGGTAGGTCTGGTGTCGGAGGAGAACTCCATTTCCTATGGGGGCTGCATGACCCAGCTCTATTTCCTTACGTGGTCTGCATCCTCTGAGTTACTCCTCCTCACAGTCATGGCCTATGACCGGTATGCAGCCATCTGTCACCCTCTGCATTACAGCACCATGATGAGGAAAACACTCTGCAGCATGCTGGCCGCAAGTGTGTGGGGGCTCTGTGCCTTCAACACGGCCATCCATACTGGACTGATGCTGCGCTTGAAGTTTTGCGGCCCCAATGTGATTACCCATTTTTTCTGTGAGGTCCCTCCTCTGTTACTTCTCTCGTGTAGTTCCACCTATGTGAACAGTGTCATGATTGTTCTGGCTGATGCCTTTTATGGCATATTAAACTTCCTGATGACCATTGTGTCATATGGCTTCATCATCTCCAGCATCCTGAAGATGCGGACAAAGGAAGGGAAGAAGAAAGCCTTCTCCACCTGCTCTTCCCATCTCATTGTGGTGTGCATGTACTACACATCTGTCTTTTATGCCTACATAAGCCCAGTCTCCAGCTATAGTGCAGAGAAGAGCAAGTTGGCTGGTGTTTTGTACACTATGCTGAGTCCTACCCTTAACCCTCTCATCTACACTTTGAGAAACAAGGAAGTCAAATTAGCCCTCAGAAAACTTTCCCCCTTTTTCAAAAACTAGTTTGTGTCTTCTGACAATCTTCTCTTTGGACAATGCAGATATAGTGGGAATTGGCTCTTCTAGGATGGGTCTGATGATTGAGTTTCTGAACTGGAACGTAAGTACACCTGGCTTTCAACCCCAGTGTGGCACTGCAGGATAATGTGCTGGACTGCAGGGTCAGTTTGAATTGCAAGGTTGGCAGTTCAGTCCCACCAATTTCTCCTTGGAAACCCTTTATAGGGTCACTATGGGTCAGAATTGATTTGATGGCACTTAACAACAACAGAACATTGAAGGTACCACGGACTGCCAGAAGAATAAACTGATCTGTGTTGGAAGTAGTAAAGTCAGAATGCTCCACAATGAGAGACTTTGTCTCTCATACTTATGACATGTTATCAGGAGGGATCAGTCACTGGAGAAGAGAATTATGCTCGGTGAATTGGAGGATCATTAACACAGAGGAAGACCCTCAATGAGACAAATTGGCACAGTGGCAGCAGCAGTGGGCTTAAGTATGACAATTATGAGGATGGTGCAGGACCGCGCAGTGTTCTGTTCTGTTGTGAGTGGGGTTGCTATGACTCCAAACCAACTCAGTGGCACCAAACAACAACAACAACAGAACATCTTTATGGATACTCTTGGAATTCTGGTGTTCTGAAACTGGCTGATATAAAGATTGTTGTTGGTGTACACCCATATTTCACTGAGAAATTGTGTCTCATGATCTGACCCCAGATTAATGTAACTGCTAAGTTGGCAGGGTGTTGCAGACCGTGCAGAGGTTCGAGGCCCTATAGGCCTGAGTGTAACAGATCTAGCCACTTGGCAGTTAATAGCAAATTGTTTTTCATCTTAGTGTTCAGTTATATTTATTTAATTCCAAACATGAGCCCTGGATGTCCACAGAG